TTTATGTTGTTTATGATAATTTGTTTATTGACAGTTTGGTATATTTCATTTTATTTGTTATTGTTGTTTTGCTTTTTACTTATTTGTTACATGTTCTACTGTAGCAACGTGAATTCAGCCAGCACGAACCCTAGCGCCTCCATGTCCGGAGCAGCCATCTGCTCTCCTCCCTGCAGTCTCCGCTGGCCACCGGCCCACTGTTCTGCTCATTTTCTGTAACAAGTGTAACGTTAGCATGAAAACATGATGGAAATAGCAAGCTAACTTTAGCGAGCTAACTAGCCAGCTGATAAATGAGACAAATCAAACAACTGCTTGATTAAATGCTTCATCTACACACCGTTGTCACACATGGAAAGCACATTGCTGTCGTCATTAACACTGATTCACCAAATTGTGCAATGTGCTGACAGCTTAATTTCCAGTACATGGAAAAGAGCAAACATTGTGCTGTGCTGTGATTGTAATGCTACAAAGTGGTTACTGAAAAAATATAAAACTCTGACATTAGATGCTGTGGTGAGGTCTGACTACAGGACATTAACATTATTATATTTCATGACATTATTCCCAAACGGTCACTCTATCTCAAATTGGCTTTGCAAAATTAGAGCTGATATACAACAGTAGATGGCGTTTTCAGCCATTTAAAACCATGAATTTACCATTTTTTTAGTTGGAAAGAAATGTAGTTAAATATTAACACCGGTACATCATTTAGTTTATAGCTTAAACAAACATGTTTGAGTCTGCAGTTACTCTTAAAACGTTGAGGACTTGAAGGATATAGGTACTTACTGTTGAACTTAAAACTCAATACGCTGAACTAGAGAGCCAACACAAAAAAGTGTTGATCACGAAAGTCAGCGTTAGTTTAGCGTTAACCTAACTCCACCTGAACGTTACATACTGCTAACGTTAGCTAAAACACTGAGTTAGCTAGCGTTAAACACTCGTGAACTAACAGTTATTAAAACTATAGAAATTATCCTTAAATACAAAAAATAATCTGTGTTCAGTAACTGTACTCTCGACCTTTAAAAGTCTGCGGTTTCGCCCACTCCCTAACAATGGAACTGAAAGTTGGATGGAATTCAGGTTAGGTAAAGTTAGAAAGATATTGACAGATTCGGACTTCCCGGTTCAATAAATCGTTAACGAAACGTTGCTAAAATACAAACGATACCTCCCTGTAACCATAGTGAGGTAGACAACAAGCTACAACCTTAATTTAATTAAAACGGGCCGTCTTACGGACTCCTCCGAGCGTGACAATCTGCATTGGTCTCAATGAGTGGCCGGCTGCGAGACGAGTGCGCAGGGACCGTCTACAAAGTGCAATGCGGAAAATACCTACTACAACAATATTCAATAGTTCACTGTCATGCAATGTAGTGTAACCAACATCACTTCACACATCAATGGGCTCCTGCTTGTTGTACTACAACTGCTATTTTGAAAAAATATGATTTAAATTAATTTTAGTGAATATTTATTGAAAATAATAATCAATAGCTTTACTGTTGATAGGTGTAGCATGACCAAAATCACTTCATACATCAATGGGCTCCTTCCTGTAGTACTACAACTGTTATTTTAGTTTCACCAGACTTGTAGATGGTTATTTATAGATCAGCTCATGGCTGCCTCATGGCATCTGCCCCTCAACCAATCAAATGATAGATGCCTAGGGTGACTAGGTCACTAACCAATCAGGAGCACCTTTCAATTAAGTTCTACCAGCAGTGATCTTTCAGTTTGTCAGTCTCCAATGCAAACCACGATGGGGAAAGACATCTTTCGATACCTAATGCGTTTGCTACATTTATTTTTCCTTTTTCACAATGTTGATACAGCATGACAATATATGTGTATATCCTTTGTTGAAGATGAAATGAGTGAACTACTTATGATGGCTCTTATCTTGATGTATGTGGCACTATATTTTTATTCAAGACAAATACACAATACAAAACATAGGTTCAAAATTGCACTAGTTTATTTATTTATTTATTTAATTTTATTAGTTTATTTGATAAGGGACAGTGCACACTAATAAAAACATTTCTGTAAATGCGCCAGTGTTAGCCAAGACGCTATTTTTCATCTGTAGTCCCAAGAGGCAGATGTTACAAAATAAACCTAAAAACAGAATGTAAGATTACATTTAAAAGGTTATACAATATTGACGCTTTACAATGCGTGCACAAATAATGAAAAAAGTGAGAATATTAATATACATAGTATCATCATTCAGGAGACTCTTAAACATTGTCAAGTACTAACAAGACATGCAACACAGAGGCCCTCAAATTCAACACACACAAGCAAATAAAGTAAGAGATAACTACAGGTGCATCTCAGTGAATTAGAATATCATCGAAAAGTTAATTTATTTCAGTAATTCAATTCAAAAAGTGAAACCCATATATTATATAGATTCATTACACACAGGGTGATATATTTCATGCGTTTATTTCTTTTCATTTTGATGATTATGGCGTCCAGCTAATGAAAACCCCAAATTCAGTATCTCACAAAATTAGAATATTACATAAGACCAATTAAAAAAAAAGGATTTTTAATACAGAAATGTTGGTCTACTGAAAAGTATGTCCATGTACAGTGTACAGTATGCACTCAACACTTGGTCGGGGCTCCTTTTACATGAATTACTGCATCAATGCGGCGTGGCACGGTGGCGATGAGCCTGTGGCCCTGCTGAGGTGTTATGGAAGCCCAGGTTGCTTTGATAGGGGCCTTCAGCTCGTCTGCATTGTTGGGTCTGATGTCTCTCATCTTCCTCTTGACAATACCCCATAGACTCTCTCTGGGGTTTAGGTCATTCAAGAATTTGGGGGAGATTCACAAGGAGTGGACTGCGGCTGGAGTCAATGCTTCAAGAGCCACCACACACAGACGTATCCGGGACTCGGGCTACAACTGTCGCATTCCTTGTGTCAAGCCACTCCTGAACCAGAGACAACGTCAGAAGCGTTTTACCTGGGCTAAGTTACCTGGACTAAGGAGAAAAAGGACTGTTGCTCAGTGGTCCAAAGTCCTCTTTTCAGATGAAAGTAAATTTTGCATTTCATTTGGAAATGAAGGTCCAGAGTCTGGAGGCAGAGTGGAGAGGCACACAATCCAAGTTGCTTGAGGTCCAGTGTGACGTTTCCACAGTCAGTGATGATTTGGGGAGCCATGTCATCTGCAGGTGTTGGTCCACTGTGTTTTATCAAGTCCAAAGTCAGCGCAGCCTTCTACCGGGAAATTTTAGAGCACTTCATGCTTCCCTCTACTGACAAGCTTTATGGAGATGCTGATTTCCTTTTCCAGCAGGACTTGGCACCTGCCCACACTGCCAAAAGTACCAATACCTGGTTTAATGACCACGGTATCACTGCGCTTGATTGGCCAGCAAACTCGCCTGTCCTAAACCCCAGAGAGAGTCTATGGGGTATTGTCAAGAGGAAGATGAGAGACATCAGACCCAACAATGCAGATGAGCTGAAGGCCCCTATCAAAGCAACCTGGGCTTCCATAACACCTCAGCAGGGCCACAGGCTCATCGCCACCGTGCCACGCCGCATTGATGCAGTAATTCATGTAAAAGGAGCCCCGACCAAGTGTTGAGTGCATACTGTATACTGTACATGGACATACTTTTCAGTAGACCAACATTTCTGTATTAAAAATCCTTTTTTTTTAATTGGTCTTATGTAATATTCTAATTTTGTGAGATACTGAATTTGGGGTTTTCATTAGCTGTAAGCCATAATCATCAAAATGAAAAGAAATAAACGCATGAAATATATCACCTTGTGTGTAATGCATCTATATAATATATGGGTTTCACTTTTTGAATTGAATTACTGAAATAAATTAACTTTTCGATGATATTCTAATTCATTGAGATGCACCTGTATGTTAAATAGAAACGTGCACTAAAGAGAATATTATGCTGCAGTTTTTAGACACTAAAAAACATCCATGTCAGAGGCACAAAACATAAAAGCATGCAGAGTATGTGAAATACATAAATCAGTCAGACACAGCTAAACAACAATAAAAGACAAGCATGCAGGTAGATGAGGGTCGACCGGCAATTTCAAGACAGACAGACAGACAGACAGATGAGGGAAAGTTCAACACGGACAGAGAAGCAGTTACATTCTAGTGCTGACAGAGTTGGGTACTAACTAACCATTTCTTTAATTGAGCTTTAAATTAACTGTATGTTTGTAGTTCTCTAATGGTTACTGGTTTGACTAAATCACTGATACTTTAATGTCACTTGGAATCGTCACCAGAAAGAGAATTTGACAGCACCAGTCAAAAGTGATTTTGGTCACACTACACTATAACAGTAAAGTTATTGAATATTATTTCCAATAAAAATGCACTAAAATTAATCAAAGTCATATTTTTTCAAAATAACACTTGTAGTACAACAAAGATGAGCCCATTGATGTGTGAAGTGATTTTGGTCATGCTACACCTATCAACAGTAAAGCTATTGATTATTATTTTTAATAAATATTCACTAAAATTAATTTAAATCATATTTTTTCAAAATAGCAGTTGTAGTACAACAAGGAGGAGCCCATTGATGTGTGAAGTGATTTTGGTTACACTACATTGCATGACAGTGAAGCTATTGAATATTGTTGTAGTAGGTATTTTCCGCATTGCACTTTGTAGACGGTCCCTGCGCACTCGTCTCGCAGCCGGCCGCTCATTGAGACCAATGCAGATTGTCCAGCTCGGAGGAGTCCGTAAGACGGCCCGATTTAATTAAATTAAGGTTGTAGCTTGTTGTCTACCTCACTATGGTTACAGGGAGGTATCGTTTGTATTTTAACAACGTTTCGTTAACGATTTATTGAACCGGGAAGTCCGAATCTGTCAATATCTTTCTAACTTTACCTAAGTTGGAATTCAATGGTGACACCATGTCACGGTGTACAAAGACAGCATAATGCGCACTGAATTGATAATGACTGTTGGATTTAACTTGAAATAGTCTACTGACGTTACAGCATGGCCGACGGCAGGACAAAAGGTGCAACTTATTTCACGGACGGTAGTACGTTAGTTGCGTCTTTACTTGTCGACTTTTATTTTGAAAACTCAAACAGACTTCCTGCTTTAGCTAGACTTTATCAATTTGACAGCAAGCGAGTCAGTCCAAATCGCGCCGCCACTGGCTGACACACGAAGGTCTGGAGCAGCAAGAACATGACTTTCTTAATGGCATGTTGCACATTGATCGTCAATGGGTTATGCATGCCCCTTCATCTGATCCATGCCATGGGCATGTATGACATATACAAACGTTTCTTCCCAATGTGTCAGTATCGGTGCTCTTTAATGTACAACAAGAAAATGTACGACAAGAAGAAGGAGCTGTTTCGCAGTCTCTCCGAGTTCAACAAGCCTGGCGGGCAGCTCATAATCCTGGAGATCGGCTGCGGCACCGGCGCAAATTTTGAGTTTTATCCGCCCGGTTGCAAGGTGATCTGCACTGACCCGAATCCTCATTTTCAGAAGTATCTGAAGAAAAATATGGGCGAGAATGACCAGCTCTCATATGAGAGATTTTTGGTGGCGTCGGGGGAGGACATGGGGTCAGTTGAGAGCGAATCGGTAGACGTTGTTGTCTGCACCCTGGTACTCTGCTCCGTCAACAACGTACCGCAAACTCTGCGTGAGGTTCGCCGCATGCTGAGACCAGTAAGTCATCTGTGACTCCTGAAATAACCACCAGTAAATGCACTCACCATAAAATGGCTATTTGCAGCCGTAGCTTTCCATGTTGTTGAGGCTGCCGTTATAATGCAGTGCACATGGACTAATCATTCACCAGTGGGAATAAATAAGTAACTAAGCTAAATAAACAAGCGTAGAGGTCTACTTCAATTGTTTGTATTTGTTTTCATTCAAATATTGAGCAAAACAGCAGCGAAGTGATTCCCTACACATGCACCAGCCAAAGTATTAATAATTAAAATTGCTAAATTTGACCTGTGGTAAGGATCCTCTGTTCCAAACAACAGGCCTTACAGGAAACAGAAAATGCAACAAAATGTATTCATTATAAAACATGAGAAAAGTATGGAAACACAAGTTTGCACAGTAAACACATAACAAAACATTGTTTTTTAATTTTTAATTTTTAATTTAAAAGTATGGAAACACAAGTTTGCACAGTAAACACATAACAAAACTTTGTTTTGCAGGGTGGAGCCTTCTTTTTCCAAGAGCATGTCGTTGCAGATCCCTCAACTTGGTCTTACTTCTTCCAGCATGTACTTCAGCCTCTTTGGTACTACTTTGGGGATGGATGTGAGGTCATCCGGGAAACATGGAAACATCTGGAGGCAGCTGGGTTCTCTGAACTCAAGCTGAGACACATCGAAACACCATTGATGTTCATGATCAAACCGCACATTGTAGGTTATGCTGTGAAATAAATTCTTCTCACAAAAGAATAAGCAAAGCACTTAAAGGCTCTCCTCTCTTTTGTGATATGATTGATCACCACCAGTGACAAATAACCCCAGTCACTCTTATGCTAACTTTATTTTTGCCATGAAAAAAATCACTCAGTCTTTGTGTTTTGTAAAGACACATTATTGTAACACATAGAGAAGATCTGTCCTTCTGTGTTTGTGTGCTACTGATGGCTTCATGACTAAAAATATATATGTTTTTCCTGTTATCAAGCTAATTGTGTTGTGTCTTAATGTTGGCAATTAAAGAGTTTGATCCTGCTGCATGATCCATGTTTTCTTTTTTAACCAGTATTGATAAGATATAGACAATAAAGTCAAAACATCTGGGGCAACTTGGACGTGTTCTCCCGCAGCTGCCCCTCATGCACACTGCGGGGTATTTGCTCCATCGTATGGTGAGACACAGACATCATCTCTGAGGTATTAAGAGTGTAATCTTTTGATCTTGTAAGTCTCGAGCTCGAGATGCCCCTAACGCGTTGCTTGGCTCAGAATAGTATGAAGTCTTGTCTCTTGAAGTTCTGCAGACTGCTTTGTTTAATGTTGACTTTACCCTTATATCTGATGGAAATCACGGGCCTGTACGGTATGTACAAACGCTTGTTTCCATGGCTTGCCTACAACATAACATTCTCATACAACGATAAAATGCACAAAACCAAGAGGGACCTTTTCCGAAACGTGGGCACATTTGCAAACAGCGACGGCACTCTTCGTCTGCTGGAGATCGGCTGTGGCAGCGGGGCGAACTTCAAGTTTTACCCCGACGGCTGCACGGTGACCTGCACCGACCCCAACCCGCATTTCGAGAAGTACCTGCGGCTAAGCATGGACGCGAACACGCATTTGACCTATGACACGTTTGTAGTCGTGTCTGGGGAGGACATGGAGGCGGTGAGGGACGAGTCAGTGGACGTTGTTGTCTGCACCTTGGTTCTCTGCTCGGTCATCAACGTGCAGCGCGTGCTGCAGGAAGTCCGACGCATCCTCAAAACGGTGAGTGTCTCAGTATGCAGCTGTCAAAGTGCCATGGGAAATATTTTGTTAGTGATTTATTAACAGGCTACGAGGCTGGTAGAGTGCCCGGCCACAAAAAAAACCACGACTAACTAGTTCATTCCGTCCTCTGTGCAGTGTGTGTACTGTGTGTTTTGGTGTACACACAACAGGCTGAATAGAAAGTTGAATTACATACAAAAGCACAAGTAAAAGTGCATATATCAATGCCTTACAAAGAGACAGCAGTACCAATGTCTTCACAGGTGGGACTGGTAGCGTGTAGTACTAAACCTATGTTTGAAGATGATTTCATTTTCAGAGTCATTAAGCCGGCAAATAAATGTATACATTAGATTTCTTAAAACAGTTTGGAAAGTATTGACTCCTGCAGCCACAAACATTTCACTTACACTACACCGTCTCGGTCTCTTAAGTAAAATCCTCATGGCAGCATTATAAGCTGAAGTCTCTGTAAGCTTCTTTTTTTTTTGTAGTGAAACCACCTGGCCCCAGGATTTCTGTGTGTCAGTTAGTTTGTGGAAATAATTAAGTTCAAACTTGATTTTGTCACTGGGCACCTCTACAAGACAAGGCTACAACATTAGGAAATGATGCAGCAGCCCCTTTTTGTTGATACTGCATTGCAAATTGCAGGGTCCAAAAAAAACATCCGATGCTTTTTGGGGTCCTGAGGGTTCGCTTGGTAATCCGGCCTTGCTCAAGGGATAGTATGTAGAACGTATCGGGTAAAATTAGGCTACTTATTGTCATTGTATAAATCATTTCCGATCCCAACTGACATTGGACAGATCGCCAGACTATCAGGGCGAAATCAACACTGGTCTTATTTTTCTACTTGATTACACACATGGCTGTGGGAGTCTGCACTATGTTTTTAGTGTCAGAAATTGTAATGACCATCACAGTCAGTTCAGAATGGTGAATTATCATCTTTAGTATTAACTTCTGAATCCCCACACATCTGCTTCAGTCCTAATGAATAACAGCCACTGCAGTCCTGATTTGGTTTTCTTTTTGTTGGTTCTCTTACAGGGTGGAGCCTTCTACTTTTTGGAGCATGTTGTCTCAGATCCCTCTTCCTCTACATACTTCTTACAGCATGTGTTTGAGCCTCTGTGGTACTATCTTGGAGATGGATGCATGATCACCAGAGCAACGTGGAAAGATCTGGAGGCTGCTGGTTTTTCTGAACTTCACCTAAAACATGTCGAGGCTCCCGAGGTTACTAGGATGATAAGACCACATATCATGGGTTATTCCATTAAATGACTGCAGGGGAGAATGGGCAGACATCATTGTGCCTCTTATGGGCTCCAGAAAGTTCAGCCCAGTCATTCGTCACTGTATTTTGCTGCTAACCCATACTATTCTGATTGTTTTCTCTCTCGGCCCCATCATGTGCCAACACTTCCATTGGTCCAGTACTAACATTCATTAGAAAATACTGGGTTCAAATTAAGTCATGTTTCATGTCAACAAAAGCAGTCAATCTGTACGTTTTCATTTCCAGTGAACAAATACACTATCCACCGCATCTATTGAGTGAAAATATATTTATTTATTTACAGAATCAGCAACATTTCATAGTTTGTTCTTCTTTCCCTCCATCCCTCCCAAGATGTACATAATAAATATTACCTGGACACTGCTTTGTTTTTTCCCTGATTGTCTAAGTAACTGCCTAAAAACAACCAAACTCAATGTCATTAGTTACCCTATATATTCCATTGCACAAAAAGAAGGAATGACGATTGTAACGTGTCCTTATAGAGAAAAGAGGGGAGATGCTGGTCCACAATATAAACAGGAATTATGTCTGTGTGGGAATTATACAGTCAACATTCTGCTGATGCCATTTAGAGGATAAAAAAAACAAACATTTTTTTAAAACACGGGATACATTTACAAACTGAGACTCAAAGTTAAAGCTCACCATTTCGGGGATACCTCCCAGTATTAAAAATGTACACAACTATAAATGTTATAGTGTTAGCAAATTTAAAAAACAGCAGGTGGAAAAAAATGTATTTGTTGAGTATATCTTAGTGCCATCAATTGTCACTTTTATATCAAACAGAGTAAAAAACTTGAGGATGTCAGCCTGAAATTAAGTGTTCCCAGAAACCCTGTTCATGTCCAAATGGCTGAGCTGTGTCGCTCCCAAATTATGTCCCAATCCGCAGCCTCGATTCAAACAGGTTATCCTGTTTTGACACAATAAAGGTCCTTTAATGTTTTGAGTTCTTCAATCAGGGTCTTGTTTTGGTTTTCAAGAACAGCTACACGGTTTTCTAGGCATTTAACATATTCCTTTTTCTTCCGTCGACATTCACGCGCTGCCTCTCTGAAAGAGGGACACAAATGTTAGATTATGCAATAAATCACAACGTACAGTATGTTCACTACTTCGACATAAAAATACATATATCAAAGTTACAGCTTAAAAGTAAAATATAAGCAAGTAAAAAAAAAAAGATACTTAATAATTAACGCTGAGACATTACTGTCTTTAAGAGGCCGTAGTGATCTCGTTCTAGAGGGAAGGTCCTGGTATCATATGAAAATAGCAGTGGTACCAACCATGTCATGCTTGTCGGGAGCTGAATAGCATTCCAAAATTAAGATAAATTTTGGCAGTGGAAAACTAGCATGCTGATTTTCAAAGGGGTCCCCTCAAGATATGTGAATGAAAATGGTTACCCACGAGTCTCCCCTTCACAGACATGCCAACTTTATGCAAACAACATGCAGCTTTGGGCAAAAATCATGGCGTTTTTTGCAAGCAGTATGAAAGGCGTTATTTTCACCTTTTGTAAAAATGGTGTTTTTGAATATTTCAACATACTAAACAGTCTTGGAATTACATAAATTGGATAACAACGACAGAAAAGCAGAGATTGTTGTGTGCATTCAATGAGCTCAATTGCATTCATGTGTGTAGATGTTAGGGCATGTGTCCATATAGCATTTCTTGCTGAGCACCAGTGTCTTATTTCAGTTGTTCCCAATGAGGAGAGCCGAGAGTAAAAGGGCTGCACCCAGCGTCTATTTTCTGAGTGGAACCTTCCCACAAAGCGCTGGTGATGTCACTGTAGAGAAACTTGTTTTGGCAGTGTCCGTCTATCCTGATTTATGACTAGAACAACTTTAGACACACACGCATGAGCTGCATCTCAGCTTCAGGAGGATGTACCACTTCTATGTGACACACACTGTTGACTTGATATCTCCCCCTAAAGATTCCCTGTCCCCCCGTGAAAAAGGCCAAAACGGGTCTATGTAGGTTTCCACGGGTTAATAAGCAAACATTCGCCTGTTTCTGAGCTCTACATAACTCCAGTAATGGAGGCACTGCACCATCACATTGACTCCCCCCCCCCCCCCATGTCCAGTTTGTAATCTCCACCAGGCGTATGTAACCCGTCGTGTCTGTGTGCATCCGTGACTGTGATTGACCAAGAAATAAACTGTACACGCACCTGTTTTTCATAAGCCTGATTTCCCTTTTCATTGTTGGGTCGTCACTCTTGCCCTGAGACAGCCCCATAGGAGACGTCATGACTACAGTCTGAGGCAGGGAGCTGGATGCGGGCGCTGTGCGGATCTGGTATGTTTGCACCTCTCCTCCTGCACCTGCGGGTGACATGACAGTCAAACGTTGACAGCACTTGAGAAGTTTAGACATTCATTTGTTATTTTTTTTTAACCATAAATAAACATAACATTAAAGCTGTTAAGAGGAAACGTTTAGTCAACATTTACAGACACACACAGGACTTCGTCAGGAGCTTTGTAATATTTTTTTGGGGACATTTTTCTAGTGCCAATACTGTGAGATTCTTCAAGCTGCGTGAATGAAAATCCATTAACTAGTTTACCAAAGGACATGCTTCTAAAAATGCTGAACCGTGATACAAATTACACTCTACTTAAATCATCTTGTTGAAAGTAAGGCACCCTGAAGTGAAGCCACATTCCAACTGAAATAGCAATGTGTCAAAAAAAAAAAATCAAGGAGCTGTGTTGATGTAGGAAAGATACTAAAGGTAAACTACCAGGCACAACCTTGTTTCCCCTTTACTCTAATTAAAATACATACAAAGAGCTATAGTCTGTCTGAACGCCTGACACATTTTGGCATCCTCCTAGCAGTTAAATTAGCAATCTGGAATCTCCTTACGAAAGATGTCTCCATTAGCTGATAAAATGGGCTTAGAAATCTAGATACATTTTATTATAATAGGACATATTTTGCTTACCTTGTACAACGACCTGGTTACTCGGCACCAGTATCTGCTGGCCGTCAGGTGTCTGGGCATACTGAAGGATGGTGGTGTTCTGCTGGGCTCCAGCGTTGGCCATGGTGACAGTCTGTAGCCCCTGAATGCCTTCAGACCCCGTACTGGCGAGCTGGATGGTGCCATTAGCGTTTATAGTAACTAGAATAATCACACAGGTGGCATCAGAATTGGGTAAAGCACAAATAAAAATAAATCACATTTCAGCTGGCTAGGTAAATTCTGAGATCTGCAGAGTACTCTTTTAGTAACTACTTTTGGGGATTTCTTTCCCCCATTTTACAAGAAATGGTTTCTGATCTACACATTTTCTTGTGAGCATATTAACACGAATTATACAGTAAGTTGTGTTACACAAACACATTTATCCCAAAGTTCCCTTTGCAGAAATCCAACATGTTTTTTTATGATAATAATTCTGTGGCCTAGAGATTAATAACATTTGATAACAATTCTCAATGTCACAGGCCAAATGACCCACTCATGCTATTGAACAGAAAAGATCGTACTGTACTGGCCGGTGCTGGTCTGGTAGATTTGGGCGGTGGGTACAGTGGATACCTGGCTCTCCGTTACTTCCTCAGACAGTTCATTTAGGATTTTTCTGCATAGTGAGAGGAGGAAGGTCAATTGAATTGGAATTCATCTCTGCAGACTGTTCTTATAATGTGTCTTGCGTACGTTGTTTTTCTCTTACCTGTATGAAGGCCGCCTCGCCAGTATTTCTCTGTTATTATGGGCCACAGCTCCACTGTCCGATGAGTCCTGTGAATCGTCACTATCTGAACCCAGGGCCTTGAAAGAGGGAGATGGATTAACAAAGTGCATTATGAGCAAGTGGATAAAATGGCATATTGAAGGTTTGTAAAAAAGAAACTAAGGAGATGAATTAATCGTAGACTGACATTGAGAAATCGTACAGTGTCAAGGAAAGCAAGTGGTCTCACCTGTGCAGTTTGCATCTGAGGGGACTGAATGACCGACGACTGTGCAGACTGGATCACCCCTTGAACCTGAAACTGACCCCCTGGCAGCTGTACAACAGCCACAGAACCACCACCCAGTGACATCTACAGAAACATAATTTAAAATCCACAAAACATATTTACTGTGGCAATTACCATAAATTTCTGTGCACAAAAAGAGTGAGTTCAGAAGCTCATTGAAACTCATTTGTACAAAAATAAATGCTTAAAACGAGTCATCATTTCACCCAAATTACACAAAACACGTTTTGCGTTTCAGTTACCTCTTGTGGCATCAAGCCATGGAGATGGTTTTGGTTTTATACTGCTAGGATTGAGCTCTACCACTGATGCTTCTGCCACCACTCTCATACAATGAAAGAGAATGTCGCTTATGGTAACACTGGACGATCTAAGGACCTCACTGTGAAGGGACATTGACGGCTGACGATTATCTCGAGTAACCAAGACATTGTTTTTGCAAAGGCAAGTTTTTTTAAATATATATATATTTTTTTACAGAATTACTCCATCATTGGAGTGTTGTGGGCTGAAATTTTCAAGATGGATATCTCATAAAACCAGAACTATCTGCATGATAGCGCATGACGGTGGAAAAGGTGTAATTTGGATGAAGTGATCATTTAAAATCTACTTTAACGAACTTACTCACTATATAATTTCAGTATGTGTTAATAAACCCTTATTTACAGTTTATAAGCATGCTTTACATCCATACAAATTAAGAACTGCTGTCTTATCAGATGCTATGAACTGAAACAGGAACTTACAGTTGGTTTTCTAAGGAATTGTTACATCCTCTGATGCATCAACTAGTATGTAAGACAGCAACAGAGGAGTGAGACTCCATTAAGCAGGCTGGCGACACTAAAACCTGGACTCAGTAATCCCTGCCTGTATCACAAAATTGGTGAGAGACAGGTGAGACTGTGCAGATAATACACTTAGTGAAAGACTTCATTTGTACTGGATAGTGAGAATAAGCAGTTTAGCTACTTCATTTGTCATTGTGCATATTATTATTCATGGTATTTTTAAAAGGTATGATTTAATTTAACTTTGCTGATAAAATAAAAACTCTTCATGATCAACTTCTTGGATCCATCTTACAAATGCATCTGTGTAACATCAAGAGTTAAATAAAAAGAAGTGTAGCTCTACTAATAAGCTAACTTTAAGAGATTTAAGTGTGCTTTCGGCATGGCATTCATAAACAACATGGACTAGATGCATGAGCATTGCAAGAGATTCAGAGGCAATAAAGAACTGCAGTATTGTGAGCTGTTATGAATTACCTGTTGGGCTATCTGTGAGAACTGAGCGGATGTGATGGTGGCAGTCTGTAACTCAGTGCCATTGCTGCCCTGCCGTACTTCTTCCATAGTAACTGGGAACAAACAACAGTTAAATCAACATTACCGCTTTACAATGGCACTAATGCAACCTGCCTATAACATGCTGTACTCCGCTGTGGCCTGCGCGCTATTTGTTGATATAATAAACAAATCTTACAGACAACGTGCAACAGATCAGAGCGATATCAATACATCGCTGATCCATACTTTCCCCCCCGACCCTTTCTTCTAAATTTGAACGGGTGCGTTTAAGCTAACTAAAAAAATCGACTTCCTCTTTGGTTCAATCGTGTTAGCCAATGCAACTAACTCATAACATGGAGTTAAGGATAACAGCTAGGCCCGAAAGTCAATACTGTTAACTTTTCACCCTCGTGGGTTAAATGTTGAATTTTAGGATTTTAAGCGGGCGACTTCACCATAACAAATGTCTACATCTGAAATGTAAAGTTATCATTTCAGTCACTCGTGCTATAGCATGTTCGCCCTCGCTAACATCTCCGTTGCTAGTTAATGGTAGCTAACGTTCACTTAAACGGATGTTAACCAATTTAAAGCGTTAAAAAGAAGACTTTAAGAACTAAAAGCGGGGCGAGTTTTGTTCCTCTAGTTCACAGGAAGGATGAGCTTTAGTCTGGTTGAGCAAATATGTGTAACTCTGTCACTGGTACGCAAGTTACCGCGTCAATAGACGTCAGCGAGACGGGGAGCCATTAAGCTAACTACACCTTCCCTCTTCGCAAAACGGCTAGGAGCTGACGAAGCAACAGCCGCCATTACCGCCACAGCGGAGCAGACGGCAAGACGAGCAAAACATTACCGCTCAAGCCAGACAACATTTACCTTTTCAAGGACCGCGTAACTGCTGCTGCTCTCAACGTGGACTTCGTGCAATTTCGTGTGTATACTTTGAGGCAAGAAATGCCTTGAAAAGTTACTTAGCAGAAGTGGCTAACGGCTAAAAATACAAAGATGTCAGCTAAAAAAAAATAGCTGACCACTTTTTTTCCCCCCAAAGGAAATGGGCGGTGCTGCTCGGCAAAGACGCATTACGTAATAGTTTATTTGGGCTTTGTGATTGGTAAAGAGTCTGAGCAACTGGTAGATGTACAAGGACAGGGTGGAGAAGGCCCACCTGTTACATAAAGTAGTGCATTGCCCAAGTAACGATGTTTATTTAATGATACTTTATATTTAAAGTATAAGTAACTGTGTCTTCATTTCAGTTGCTAGCATATTAAAATGCTGCTTCCACAGTGATGCATCTGCAATGTTAATCCAATAATATTATCATATAACACTAAGGGGGCATTCTGCATAGTGAATACTTTTATTTATTCTTATTATGAATGATTTTACTTCACATTGCGATAGTAATATTTACACAAATTTTCGTGTCACAGATTTTGCCCTCTTGTGTTTGGCCATCTCATTTTGAAACAAGACAAATCTTTTAACAAATGTTTTAAAATTCAGACTCATATTTACCATTTTACAAGTAGCTGTCGGCCTTTTTCAGGAAGCCATACACGGGGGTTTTGCGACAAAGAAATATTTCTCGTCCATTATGACAAATTCTTGAAATGCTTTCACTGTAAGGATGCAAGTTGTGTAATAATCAAAACTCGTGAATATCAGGACATTTGAAATGATTAAATGGTTTTGTTTATTCTGTATTACTTTCACATAAAGTATAAAACAAAGTACAACAAACCAAAATAGAAAATAAGTGAGAAAATGGGAAGGGGGGTGTACCACCTTGATTTCTTAACTATACGTGTTAAAACACCTCCCTAACATTAAAGATTCATTAGTGGATCACACCCTCATGGATCAGTATGTAATTCACCAAATAATTAATATACAACATACCAAGAGTGCATACACAAAATATTGGTAGAACAGCTCAAGAGAGATTAATCCAGTCTTAAGTACACTACCGGTTAAATGTCATCAGTCCTCTGTTCTTAGTTATTACAAAATGTTTAAGCAACATGTTTATTTCACCAGACTGTGCAAGCTTTGAAATTATATTGCACTCATTGGGATTGCATAGTGTGTGACAAAGTGTCTGACGGAAGAGTGGAAACCAAAGGAAGCCCTTGTAGACTTCCCAGCGAAGCAGGTAGATGGTATATGGACACTGGTCGTCAGTAACCCCTCTTTTTGCTCATTAGGTCTGCCTTAATAACAAGGAGATTTGATTTTGACAAATGTCTACATTTTATGGGTATTATTCACAGATTGCACCAAGGGACCACCTGGTCCATCCCTGTGTTATGAGTTTTGTTCCCTGAATATACAATTATTTCATACATATATATCTCCTCCACTTGTGCCTCAAGCTGAGTTCTTCTTGTGCTTGGCAGAATCATGCAAACGTTCTACTGCAAACGAAGGATGCAATGTAAAAGCTAAGATGAAGTGCTATTAGTTTAAACTCTAGGTGGTCTTAAACTGGGCAAATGCCGAGCATTATATATCTAAAATTAGTAACACAGTTAATGTAAGATGAAGTAGGGATAGTTAGTCCACAAGGTAGACACCTGCTGTAAGTACCACCAGTGCAAAGTGCAGCAATTCAATGGATTATATTTGTTTACCTTTAATGATTAAATATCTGTCTAGTATTGTGTTTGGCATGATTGTATCCTATAATGGGACAATTGCAAAAGTCTAAAATTAACAAAAACTATTTACATGTTTACATTAACTGTTCATCACTGAAATACAGTATAATCCAGTACAAAGAACCTATAAATTATGGCAAGGAGCACAAGGAAAACAAGAGATAACAGGAAATCAAACACATTTTGCAAATACATCTTGTTGCAAATATTATTTCTTTTCTTTTTTTTTTTCACCCTTTTTCATACAATTACTTTACTTTTCAATCAAGGATGTTTCAGATGTGGCTCAGCTTTGCAACTGCATTCACAAGTGCTTTTTAATCCAGTGACAGAACAAAGAAACGTATCCAGATACATGAGGGCTTGCATCTATTGACTACTGACTCTTAAGTACCGACAACAATCCTGTTAGTATTCAAAGTAATTCTTAACAAAGTTGCACAAATACAAAATACAATTCGAATTAACTTTGAGTGTGAAAAGGAAAAGGAAAGCGACAAACTCTCAAACACTTGCTCTATTTTGCAATACAAAAATGAGTGTGACTGTCTACCGATACAAATTACAATGGCAATGGATATTAGATAAAGGGTTGTGGGCCTATTTTTTAAATATTTTTGAATGTTTTTACAAAATAACCCGGTAGCCTGAAAAGTCATGATATTGGTTTTTAGCCAAGTGTTTTTTTTCAATGGCCGACAGGAAAGTTCCCCGTCATTAACAGTGATAGTCCTCCTGGTAAACTCTCAAAGCTCTTCAAGCAAGAATCCTCAGAATAATATATGCGCCTGAACCTTTTGTTATAATGCCTCATTGTTATAATAAAATAGATCATTTTTGAGAAAGTGCAATGTTCCATCTATATCCTGACTAGCAATTCTTTAAAGTTAATTATCTTTAACCTCCATTACACAACTAATATTCCATTTCAAAAGTACTGTCAAAACTGTTAAATCTTATTTACAATCCTCTCTCTGCTACAATTGTAATCCCTCAGCTGGGTTAACAATCCATAAACCATCAACTGAGAGAGACAAGTCTAGCATTTATACATTTAAAATATATCTATACAGTAACATAGTATCTAAAATACAACAGGCCTTTATAGGTACAGTACAGAATATGGCCACTTTCCTCTTTTAATTTGATCCCTTTGGATATCGGTCAGGATTTCCACTACTAGTCAAAACCACAGGAGAGTAAACAGCCATTAATAACAGATTCATTCAAAATCAAGATCGGAATGTATGGCTGAAGTTTTATAAGGCAGGAAATATATCAGGGCAGGAACGTTGTGAAATAGTTTTTGGCTTCATTATCATGGGACAAAATAAGATTTCTAAATAATGCACACAGACTGAGATAATGGTGTGTTTTCATCTGCCGTCTTTTGTTCGTCTGTGGTAGTGAGAATTGACTCAGGGCATGCGTTTGTGCGCGTGTAAAAAACATTTCAAGTTGTTGATCCAAGTTTAATAGCTCTTGGTATTTGTATGGAAACAGAAGGGAAAGTATTTTACGAGATTTGTGGTAGGTACTTAATAAGAAGATGGATTTTTTTTACATAGAAATAATTTCAAAAGTGGTCCTGTTGTATGTTTCACCCTTTCCATAAAAAAAAGTGCAACAGGGTTTATTTTTTCTTTGCCGTATGCAGTACCAGTTGCTTCTGTCCCATTTGCAAAATTCTATCTATAAAACACAGTGAAGAACTCCAAACATGGCAGCTCCAATCACAGACATGCAGTGGCCAATATATGCTGGTGTCACACAGGGCTGGGTGGCAAGACATGTGGTTCATGCTTTTTCCTTTTCACCCTCTGCCAAAGCCGCAGTCGAGCACCGGGGTGATGATGCAGAAGCATCCAAAATGTGGATGCTGGATGCCTAAACAAGCCCAGACCAACACAACCCCTTTACATGTTGTAAGCGACATAGATGGGATCCAGCTGGTCAGCGAGGAAAGAGTCACGAAGGTGCATGCGTTGCTTCTCTCCCCTGGAGTTGATGGGTATAACGCCGGGGTCCACAATGACCACCACACCCACGATGAGGTGGTGCTCCTCCAGGACCACGTTGGTTATCAGAGGCACCAGGTCCAGCGCATCCTGTTCTAAACCACACAGCTCTGACACCACCACCAGCAGGTTGGTCCACGTAAACACAGCACTGTGAAGAACAAGAACCCAGAAGCAATGTTAAAAGGACTAGTTTGACCTTTTGGGCGTATTCGCTTTCGTCACAGTGTAATTACATGTGCGTATCACTGTGTGCCGTCGGAGCAGTTAGTGGTGGATATTACTGTAGTTTCCTAAGAACATTAGTAAAGTCTTTGTCAGGTAGGTACTGTATGTATATCAAGACCATGCTCACCTCTCAGCTATACTGCGGTGAGCCCGGGACACTGAGATTTCAATGTCAGTTGGGTGGTAGCGCAGCCCTCTAAGCTCCAAGGTCTCATCCAGTGAGCCCACCACAAAGAGAGCATCGTGCCGATCTGAGAACAGAAATACAGGCAACGTAATCCACCCAGAACAGTATGCAGGCAAAGTAAAAGGAAATGTGTAAGAAGCCTGTTAAAGTGTTAAAAAGTGATAATAATCTACCTCGTAATAAACTCATGAGGATTGACTGTCTCAGTCCAATCTATTTAGTTTTAAAGCTAGACTTGAGCTCCGTCAGGGTCTACTCACCCCCGTTGGCCTCCAACAGCTCCGTCCTCTTCACAAAACCCAAGTATCCTGTCCTGGCCCATAAGGTCTGCGGGTCTCCAAAGCTGAGCTTGGTGTTGAAGTGGTTGGCCTGAAGACTCTCCTCTCCATAGATGGTGTAGTAGCCACTGGCATTGTGAGGGCTGTTTATCCAGATCTGAGAGAGAGAGAGAGCGAGAGACACACACTGGGTCAGAGCTCGGGTTCAGAAGGAACAAGGCTTCACCCACCATGTTGTGTAGCATATACATCTCACCTCTCCTAGATGAGAGTCACCAAGTGGACCTCTGGTCTCTGGATTTACGATTATCACCCGAACACCTGGCAGTATCTGTAGATGAATAACAATTGTCATACACTGGAAACATGCACCACTTTTAACTTAATAGTAATAATTCATTGAGTGAATTTGTACCATCCATGTTTACATATGTAAAGCATCTCACCTTGCCAGACTCCATTAGAGGAAGACTCTGAGGTGCTCCTCTCTCCACCAGCCTCACTCTACATAAGAAGACAATCAATTTAAAATCCACACTTATCTCTGAAACATCAGCTAAGACCCAAACTCTGCTGTAAACGGTACGTTTACGGACGTAATACTTTTTAAATTCATAAGGCTCAGTTTAGGACACTGACGACTTGTTCATTTAAACCGTTCAATTTTGGTTGAAATGATCCATGTGTTCTTACCTGTCATGTCGGAGGGACTTCATGTCTACATAAACCGTACAGGGATCCGGACCAGTGGTGCCCTGTAACACACAAAGAGCAGGTCCATACAGGTCCCACTGACTCTCATCTAGGTATAATTCAAAGTGTACTTCTATGTGAAGCCAGGTTAAGTTGGTTGGTGTACCTGCAGGCAGATGGCCAGGTTAACCCGTGAACCAAAAGCTGTGCTGACAGCTCTGAACGACAGCCCGATGTCCTTAAACAGCTTTGAGAAGGAGTGTGAGAGGGCGAGCCGAGGGCGTTCCTCTGCTATCACCACGCAGCTCCGCACACATGACAGGCTCACACCACGGGCCTTAAACACACCCACACAAAATGATCAAATCCTTCAGGAATATTACATATCTATCGTTCATGATTCTCTCTCTCATTCATATATATATATATATATATATATAGTCCTCACCTTGAGTAACTCAGTCTGAGTGCCCAGTCCTTTAGTGCAGAGCTCCATGACGGAGT